ACTTTTGACCTGGCTGCCATCTGAGAACCATCAGTTTCTCTTCAGGCCTTGTTTTTGGCCTGAGAACAGTTTTGGACCTGACTCTGCCTGTCTGTGTCACTCACGCCCACCCAGGTCAGCAGCAGAGTCTGTGTCCTCCTGGGAGACCTGCACCCTCCCACCCTGGGCTCTCACCCGATGATCCCAGATTCCCCAGACAGGGCTGGGCTCTGGGTTTCTGCTTCCTCCTTCACTCCAAGGTCCTGTCCATTCTGACGAAGGTCATACAAAGCTGCTTAAGTGTCTGTGGAGGACACTGAATAATAACCCAAAATGTGACATTTCTGATCTGTTCCCCTCAGATCCCCCAAACACACACTTGACCCACCATATCATCTCTAACAAGAATGTCACCCTGAAATGCTGGGCCCTCGGTTTCTACCCTGCGGGCATCACCCTGACCTGGCAGCGAGATGGGGAGACCCTGGCCAAGAACGTGGAGCTGGTAGACACCAGGCCTGGGGGCAATGGAACCTTCCAGAAGTGGGCAGCTGTGGTGGTGCCTTCTGGAGAGGAGCAGAGATACACGTGCCATGTGCAGCATGAGGGGCTGCCGGAGCCCCGAGTCCTGAGATGGGGTGAGGAGGGGGACGTGGGCACAGAGGTTCTTCTTAGGGGGATCAGGAGTCCTGCTGGACCACTCACAGGGTCAGGGTGAGGCCAGGGGCTCAGGGTCTCCCCTCTCCTTCCCTTCCAGAGCCCCCTCCTCAGTCCTCCACCCCCACCGGGGGCCTCATCGCTGGCCTGGTTCTCCTTGGAGCTGTGCTCACTGGGGCTGCGGTGGCTGCAGCTGTGATGTGGAGGAAGAAGCGCTCAGGTACGGAGGGAGTGGGGCATCCTGTCCCCTGGGGGCTTTCAAGTCCCAGGGAGAACTTGCCCACTTGGTTAATGGGAAGCACCAGCCACACCCCTGTGCTACCCAAAGGGGTTTGGTCTAGTTCCCCCTCTCCCTCCTGCATAATGTCCTTTCTTTTTTTCCCTAGTCCTGACCTGGGGCTTTAGTCATAGTTCTGGAAACTTCCCTCTACTCCAGAATTAGAAAATATCGTTAGGATGTCTGACCTGACTCCTCCCTGGTCTCACAT